GGCGAGTGGGGGCGCGCGGGCGTTAGGTGCGCTCGTATGCCTGTGGACACGGGAACACGAAGCTGCGCGAAGACGCCTTACAGATCCACAGAAATCTAAACGAACCTAGCTTTTTTGCCATCAGGGGAGCTTCTTTCCGGCCGCCCACATAAACTATACTCTGTGAAAAATGGCAACTTACAGCAGATGATAGAACTCATAGAAGGTACTGCCCGCCAAATTTGAAAGCACTCGGATAAAAATTTGTATTCGTTTAAAAAAGACTAAATAAGTAGCAAAGCTTTTGCAGATGGATTTTCCAGGTTTCTATATATCTAACACTCTCTCCTGTAGGAAATACTAATAAAGGGATTTTGTCTTGTGCCTATTTAGTAGCAGTTGACTTCTGTACAAATTTAATGCGTAAAGAAAGGGCCTATGGGAAGCGTTTACCCTTCGTGAGGCATCAACCTATTCGCAGCTCCGGTTTCTGTACAGGTGTCTTGACAATAACGTGTTGCCGAGGAGTGTTAGATACAAATCCCCGATTAACGCATATTTTGAGCGTGCTTTTTACAAAATATCACGTAAGAACGAAGGCTTTTATTTTCGCGTTTCTGCCGTAAGCAATCGCATAACGAATTTACTGACTGGTTCAATGATGTCGAAGTTCATGAAACAGGAATTCGGTCAACATATTCGAGTCATGTATAAGTTGTCTATATGCTGAATACGAAGACTACTTAAGCAACAGCGATTTTTAGCTTTTTCTGCAGAGCATTAAAGTATTTAAAAATAGGATGTTTATTTCAATCAGGTCAAGAATGTAGCTACCAAAGAAGGTTGACCGGAGGAAAAGAGTAACCGATGCATTTTGTCTAATCTAAATTTCGCTTACGTACTTACTAACCTATGAAGAACCGTTATTCTTTTAGAATCAAGTGTCTCAGTTAGTTTTAAGTAATTACTCATTCGAGACCTAGTTTCTGTAAAGTTAGGTTAAGTATAGAAAGTTTTTGTCATTAAGCAATTAAGATCGTGTATGCGAAATGAGTCTTCAAGAGCAGGTTTCAGATACTGGGTAGCTGAATGTCAAATTTTTTTGAAAACAATACTTTTTAATCACCTCGCATTCCACGCTGAATTATAGTTCGCTCGGAAAATAGCCAATTACTGAGATTAAATAGCCGGTTGATGAAAGAAAAAGAAACGGAATTCACAATGAGAAGCTAAATTTTATTTTGTGTTCCTTGGCCTTCCTTTTAAATGACCAAGCTGGACTCCTGGTTTCTTGAACCTCAATAATTTGCAAACTCGACTGCGCTAATATCCTAGCATATTTCGTTCGCATTTCCTAAATGCAGAACTCCATCAAAATTTGAAATTTTCGAAATTAGAAAATATTGCCATAAATTATATTGCTTGAATATTTCTAATAAGAAGCATTGGTTGCACTTCATCATTAAAGGACAGTTCCAGCGCAGTCTTCATATGTTCTTAATCCTTGCATTATGCAAATCTGTCATAAGATAACTTCGACGGGCCGTTGCTCAGTTTAATTTAAAATGAATTTTCTCATTGTAGAGACGCGGAATCCAGGCAGAAGAGTGAACTGGAAAAGAAGGGAGAGGAGATTCAATATCTGCTAGATGTTAGTGTTTCTGTCCCTTATGCTATTCTGACTTGTGTGTTATGTTCTTTGTGACAGAGGGCATCACAAGTTTGTTTGCGGTCACTAAGACCAGCGACCGCTAGCACATGCAATTGCATGTTAAGTATAGTTTACTGAATAGGTAGTCAGGAGGAGGACAAGTGATAAAAACGTTCTAGTTTGGGTACCACTCGCCATAAATTTGTAATTACGCTTATAAAAAGGATCTGCGCAAAATAATCTTCACGCTTATTCGCGTATAGATAATGAGCGATCCTATCTGCAGTCTTCGTATGCTTGGGTGCTTACTTTCAATTTCAGAAGCTATGCTAAGTCAGCCATGTCAAGTTATTCAAGCCTACGTCCATTTTGCATCTTTAAATATCTTTAATGTTCTCTTTATAGCAAACGCGGCTCTAAAGCCCTTTCCAGAATTTTAGGCCAGAATTTAGTATGTGCCCTCACGGTTTAATCAAGCAATTCACTTATGCTAGGACTAGTTCTCACCATAGTCAAAGATTAATTGTTAAAACAGGAAGCAACTACGAAAAACTAGTCTTTCGCAAACCCAAAACTGCTTTAGAATACACGGGTTTGAAAGAAACAACATTAAACTGTAATTTTTGCTAGTTCTATTCACACGGCTAATATCTTTAAAATAAAGGAACTGTAGTAGCCACTGAGCAAAGGATATAGTTATCTCAATCCTACGACCGACACAACAGTAGTTTCTTTAGATAACGATAATTATTGTTCTAGATAATACTTCCATTGTTCTAAGAACAAAGTTCCATAATCATTCTACACGACTTCCCCTGACCTTTCACTTGTCCATCAGACATTCATGAACTGCTAACTGCCGGCTCCCATTTGTCATGCATAAATGTTGATTTTCTTTATCCTGAACATTCAAACGATGCCAGCCCATCATGTAGAAACTATTTTTTTCTAAGGCATTTTCAGTGGTCTGTTTATTGTACCAGCAAGCACCGTGTTTCATCTAGTTCTAGAAATTTAATCTAACGTCAAGATCTAGTATTTGTAATGGACTCTGCACCTTACGATAAAAGGTGACTGGCAGACTTGAAGTTGACACAACGAAATTCCACGTACTTCTATTAAGACAGTTGTGTCTAGCGAAGCCACGTTTGACGATTTTTTGATAGTTTGTGCTGGAGAAAGTCATTTTACTCTATCTCTACTGTCTTGCTATTTGCTTTCAGGCAGTAAATAATTTGGAAAGGAGTCGACTTGATGACAGAGACAAGTTACTCGACTCCGAGAAGCGATGTCTACAGACGGTGAAGGAACTCGAATCCTCCAAAAGATCTATGCGCCAAGTATTCATTTTGTCTTTTTACGTATAATGGGCGTATTTAAAATTAGTCTAATTTTTTAAATTTTTTAAATCAATGAAAAATATCTGATCGACAGCCTGAATTGGAGGATCTAAAAATATTAATACTTTCATTGAGTGTTACACATGAAATACACACGTTTAGTCCAATAAGTGAGGTAATTTACAGGGGCAAAAGAAATGTCAGACAAAAATATGAGTTTTATAAACGGTAGTTGTAGTTTGGCTGGTGACTGAATGGCCATACCGATCAAGAGGGATCAAAGTGCCGTCTTATGTCCTAAAGTAATTTCACCATCATTCTACGGGAATAGCACAGGTGTTTAAACTGTTGGAAATGCTTCACAATAAGGAGCAACTGATGCGAAGGCGGATATTCGTTTGGTTATCATCAAACACCTGTGACTTTCCATGCAATGACCACAAACTTACCAGGCTATTTCGCATGACCATATTTTTTCTAACCTGGAAGATATTTAGGTATATGGCTTATTTATTGTTCTTTTTCCTTACACAGATGGAGTGCGAAGTGAGTCGCCTGCGAGCTGCCCAGGTAGATAGCGAAGTATTTGCATTGATCGAAACCTAACCCTCCTGACCTAGGCGTCGAAATCGTACGATCTGGTGAACGTGAGTCTTCATAGCTCTCTGCATTATGAGCTTACAACATGTTTAGGAGGATATTGCTCAGCTGACTGAACTTAAACGAAATTTGGAGAAGGAAATTGAAGAAATGCGGGCGAGCAGACAACTGGACGACCAGTTTGCAAAGAAGGTGGAACAGTTGTCTGCAACCTCGGACAAAATCACTTTCGATTTATTCCGTAAAAATGAGGCCTACAATGCCATTCAGGAGGTAGTGGCATCTGTTAAGAAGGTATTAGTACTTGTTGAATGTGTACTCAATTTTACTCCTATTTAAAATACTACTTAATGTTTGAAGTGCTTTCTACTTCTATAAGGCTCTTTTGACTTTTAAAGTAATTACGCTCATACATTTTGGTTGAATGAAAGTTTTAGAGAAAACTTGGCCGTAAAACGAGAATGTTCTTTGTATATTACACCTAGGACTTCCAGGTTTACGATAAAAGAGGAACCTTCCTCGACAGAAAATTGATAATTACCCTGGATGAATTGCCTCCTCTTCTTCAGGAGTCAACTTCAACCGATAGTTTTCCAATTGCGACTGTAAAAATTACTCAGAGCCGTAGGTCTGCGTGTGGTTTCATCATCAATGGTCCTGTTTGCAAACAAGTGGCCTAGAAAAAGGCATAGGCAATTCCAGTAGATTTTTTCTCTCATTAAATGTCAATCTAAATTCTAAGAAGGGCGCAAGACAAGGTGCCAAGGTCGCATGCCATAACACCAAGGACGCGCGCAGATGGCGTGAGCATGGAACGATCACAAATGCCGCCCCCTCACCCAATCGTAGCTAAATTACAAAAGCATGCCCACGTTTGCCGCTATCCCATTCCCTTTGACGATGGCCTCTGGTGTGTGAAGCCGAAAGCTCAGAATAATATTATTGCCGCTCCGGTGATCGCGTCTTCTTTCTCTTCTTTTGGAAGAAGGTGTCTGGTTTTATTTTAAAAGATTACACAGCGGAACCTCGGTTAACGAGTTTAATCTGTTCCGGCACCGATCTCGCCATGTGAAACACTCACTTTGCGAAACACAGCCAATTGCATCAGTTAACTGATTGGCTGCAGGTGAACGAGGACACACGCTTCGGGAACACGACATCACCGTGAACACAGGCACACACACGCACTAATAACTCGCTAACTGAACAGAAGTTCATCAATTAGAAACATATTTTTGCTAGTGGCTTGCTCGTTATTTTAAATGTTCATAGATGGGCCTGCTCTTCACCCGAGGCTACACAGTAAGGGCATCAAAAATCAATGAAAAATACACATTACCATTACATTTTTAAAAGCGATCACAAGGAAGTTCGTCCCAAAGCCGACATCCTGACTTTACTTAAATATCTTCAGTTGACTTAAACAATCTTAAGTCGTTTTTGTCTCGAATTGAAAACATAGTTTAGAATTTTTAGAGGATCTTTCATGAGATGGGCAAGCTACTGTAAATGCTGCATTTTTTCTGCTTTTGGTTTATTATGAAATAATTATGATAAAGGAGAAGAATAGAATCACCAAACAGCCATGTTGCTTACTGCCCTCGTCGAATTCCGCGATCAACATAGAAATGCGTCCATAAATCGTTGGATACTGAACAAAATTCTTCAATGTTCTCCTAAACAGGACGAGTACTTAAGACAATTGCAGTTTTATTAGCATAGAATAGTATTATATGTTAATTCGCAGCGATATATTAGAAACTGTACCTCTTGCTTCCTCTTGAAATAAGTGATGTGTACATACTGTGCTCGTTCCTCCGACCTTCATTTCTATTTAAGTTATCTCTCATAGAAAAAATGGAGGTCATCCCAGTCCCTATTTCTCTTGTAATAAAATCTAGACTTCCTTCAAATGTTTTAGTCTGTCTGCCGATTTATATTCTAGACGATTACATAATACCTAGTTAGACGCAGTTTCTGCTTATTTTGTACTTTTCCTCTTAAAACCAACAGTCTCCATATTTCAATATCTATTTTCACCAGGATATCTTTTTGTAATAACCCTAATATACAAATGATTAGGCCTTTGAAGAATTGCAAGGTAAAATATTCGTGGTTGAAATGACGAGGAAGCAATCAAACTTCTAAATCTAAATAGTATTTTACCTTCTACTAGGAAAACTGTGTCAGCAAGGGTGGCGTAGGTGAACCCATTCGATGAAAGATAACTAGAGGAACCCGGGATAAGGAATGGTGCATATTAAACCTGGATAGTAAACTCGGTTATATGT